GGAAGCGGGGAGAGATGTACTTCTGTGACACAGCTGTGTCCCTGGCTTCAGGTGAGATGAAGGAGAGGAGGTTTGGTTGGGTGCCGGGAACTGAGAGGAAATTCAGTTCTAAGAGCGTTTAGAACTTCCAGTGGGTCCCCGTTTAACACTGTCTTTCTCAGGAGGTGTCCTATGTCTCAGGAAAGTGGGCCTGTCTTATCCCGGCCACGCTCAATACATGCCTGGGAGGAGTCTGCATAGAACATGGCCCGGGTGAAAATTCGATGCAGGGTTTTAGAACACAGCAGTTAGGGCTGTTGGCCAACTTGCAGGTAAGGTCTGAGAGACCAGTTGAGTAGTGCCATGCTCTAGCCCCACTGTATTGCAGACGACTTCTCCATGTAGTTCCCAGGGCATCTGTTCTGTGCTCCGTGGGCTTCTCTTCCTGAGGGAGAACTCAGAGAGGAAGGTGACTGCATGAACCACAGTCTCTGAAACGTCAGTCTTGGGGTCTCAGGATGCCACCTCCTCGTCCTTACCCTCTGTCTCCTTCCCTATTGGTTCTGCATCCCCATCTCCTGTGATCTTGGCAGGCGGCGGCGGCTTCTCTGGTGGTCTGATGATGTTCCTCATTCTTAGAGGTTCACAATGTTTTCTACCCGCCCCAGCTGTGAGGAAGCAGCCTAACTGCCCTTGCTACTCAGTGCCAGTCACCCTCACCAGCCTCGTGACTCCTCTTCTCCTGATCTTTTTGCACAAGTGAACTCAGAACTGTCAGTTCAGGGGAACCCTTGCCGAGTTTTCTGGCGAGAGTCACTGAGAACGGAGCACAGCTTAGAAGTCTGATTTGACACAGGTACGGCAATGCGAGGAGACACCCAGGACTTCCAGAGCACTGCTTCACGTTGGTGTCGCAGCTGCACCTGTGAGGCACCATTCCAGCACCCATGATGCTGCTGCTTCCTGGTGTTGAGCCCAGTGCCCTGCTGTGCTGACTCCAGCTCACAGCACCTCACATGTTTCAGAACATTTCTGCCTGGATGGGACCATGTTGTAGCTGAAGATTCGCATGGAAAGAGTATTTGTGCGACTAAAATTTGCAAATGTTACCAATCTGTCTCTCTTCTAAGCAAAGCCAGTTATGACATATATTTCTCAGACACCATGAAGCACAGCAGGTCCTGAGTAACAGAACTGTGCTCGACACCACTGTGTTCTGATGTTGAGAAAATCAAAGTCTGTAGACGTTGCACATTCTTCTCATGTCTACATGGGTTTTCTTTGGGAACATTGATTTCCTCACACATCTCAAAGATGAGAATGGGAGGTGACTATCTGAATGTATCAGGCTGAGTGGCTGTGGTCTGTGTGTGACCCTGCCCTGGGAAGGGACGGTGTCCTGTCCAGGGATGGCTCCTGCCTTGTGCCCTGAGCTGCTGGGAGAGGCTCTGGTCCCCTGGGACCTTGAACTGGAAGAAGCAGGTAAATAATTATCTTATTCATTTTTACTAATCTATCTTAAATGTGTATAGAGCTCCTATCATGTCGGTGTTTAACGGTAGACGTGTTTTGATCTGTATTTAGAAGTCTGGTAATCTCTTCGTATCCATAAATAAGCAATAGGAACGTGACTCTTGTTTATATCAACTAGCCAATGGTGAAATGGGTTTTGTTACACTGAAAGCACAACAATGTGTAATGAAACCTATTTTACCATTGGCTAATTCATAGGAACCTATCGAGGGTATGAAGTGGTTCTTCCAAACATCCTTTGCTGTGAGGGCCACACCCTTGTAGGGGATGTGCTATGTAGGACCCCTCCCCCAATGCACTGGATCAACGTTGCAAAACTCCTAGTGCTAGCTGAGTTTCTGTGAACAGCAGAAGCAAAGCATACCCCAAAGTAGGAATCTACACCTAAATAGATGAACGCAGCGGCTGTTACTTGACGGGAGGAGCCCGGCAGAGCTCACATGCTACCAAATGAATAATGCTATGTGGGAGGGTCGGTGTGGGGTGTCAGGAACTGGAGGGGGAGGCGGTAGACTTTAGATACTGCTCAGACTATTGATTTATATGCCAATGCCAGGAAATGCACAGCCTATAATAAGATTTTAGATATAGCACATCTGGACTGGTGCCAGACTGTCTGCAAAACTCCTCACCACCTTGTTCTTTCCTTTGTCCGTTCAGCCACGTCCATCTCAACAAACGTGAGCGGGAGGAGGAGGTCGGCTGGGTTATGACTCGTGTGGTTGCATGTCATAATCTGTAAGGGAAATTGACCAGCCTGAATTTCACTTTGGTAGCTCTTCAGCATTTTACAAACCATTAGTGTCATTCATAAAACCAGGATGGAAACAAGTTAAAAATGAAAAAAAAAGAATTCAAAATATCTACATATGAAATCTAAAGTTACAGCTTCAAGTTTGTTTCAAAAATAAACTCTAAAGATGAATTAGAAGTATAAATGTACTGTTCAAGGATAGAAATGTTCCTGAAAATAAAATAATTGAGTAATAGATTCTAGAAATAACTTCACAGATAAAATAACAATTTAAGTTGCTTCAAAACTGATGAATTCATTTAATTTTCTCGTTTAATAGTTGCATGCAAAGACTAGCTATTTAATGGAGGAATTTTTTTACATAGGTGCTAAAGAAAAAAAGACCTAATTGGGAACAGCTTTGTGAAAAAACGTACATTATGAAAAAAATCACATTTTAGGTAAATAAGAATTAACGATTCTCACAGTATAGTGGAAACATTTGGTAAACTATTTTCAGTAGGACTTTTTAACATTTTGGAACATACACACTATTAAAGGAAATAACAACTGTTTTTATCAGCAACAGAAAGTTTTATAAGCAAACTAGTAAATAACTAAATTTTTCCTTATCCTGTGAGTGCAAACGTTAATTTTTATTCCCTAACTATTCATTTATTTGACCACCAGTGACAAAATGTTTCATCAAAATTTTTTTGGCATTTTTTTTTCTTTTGTAAGCCTTTGGTTGGTATCTGTTTTATTGTTTTATTTCACACTGTGCATAAGCTTTCAATACATTATATATTGAAATTATCAAATCACATTACGTATCCTGTCTGATGTAACACATTAGATGTGTAAGTCGTATGTTATAGTTGCTGGAAATATTTCCCTCAGTGGTTCACCTTTTTATTGCTTATATATTGTTTTTGAGATAAGTTAAGGACCTGTGAGATCTTTTGCCAGTAGTTATCCTAGGATTTGACCATTTCTTCCCGGAGTCCCTGAGTAATTTTTATTTCTCAGCCTGCACTTAACTATTGGTGCTTCTCAGGGCCTTTATTAGATGCTTTCCCAGGGAGACATGAGTCACGCTGACTTCAAGCTGTGACCAAGTCCCCTGACCCTCACATCTGTGCAAATGTCTCCCACGTTCTAGCCAAAATCCTGCCAATTGCCATCTGGGTGTCCCCACGCACCTTAAATAATAGAAGTCCCAAATTACACCCAAAAATATTTTCTGCTCTAACGAATGTGCTATCTGATGCTACAGAAACAGACCTCCAAGGTGATGGGCTTGAATGTGTCTGATCTCAGCCCCTTTCATCTCCTCTCCGGTCACTCCTGTGTCATAAATGTCTCAAAAATCTGCCATTTCATCCCATGTGCACCTGCCTCCGCATTTGTTCAGATGGCATCCCTTTTTCCTAGTGAGACTGGTTTCTTGCCCATACTTTAAAGTTATCCGTAGGGGGATAAAAAATCTTTTGAGCTTTTGGAAGCAGAAGGTGGAATTGTGGGCATTAGAGGTTAGGAAGCAGAGTGGGAGGACGGGGAGGTGTTGGTAAAGGGTGCAAAATTCCAGCCAGGTGGGCGGAATGAATGCTGTTGTTCTACAGAGCACTGGAAAGCAAGTGTTGTGAACTACTATTTATTGTCTATTTTTGCAAAGCTGGAAAGGAGGATTTAGAGCATTCACAACACAAATACATGACTGAAGTGATGGATATACCAATTACCCCCATGTGGTCATTGCATTGTGTACACGCGTTGAAATTTCATTCTGTAGCCCATAAATATCTACGATTATTACGTCAGGTAAAAATAAAAAGAAATCTTAAATATAAAATCTTTTCTTTGTAAATGTCCTATTCTAATTATTTCCCCCATGTTTCACGTCATCTAATTTTTTCATGAAGATATAATTAAATCTAATTGTTAACTGTTTGTAGTAGGATTTGGGGAACTGTGTTCAATAATACTCATTTGGGTACCAATCAGTATTCAAATTTTAACAATTTATTAAAACCTGTATTGTTATATTCAGTAGCACAAACAAGTAACATCAGGATTAGATAATTTGATGGCAGTAGCAACATTAAAAATGTTCTCGATAAAAACGACTTCTCAATTAGACTGATACTCATGTGTGGCTACATTTAAAATCAATGGTGTTTGTAATTCCTGTGCTACTAGGCAGTGATTTGAGATTCCTGACAGAAATCAGTAGATAATAAACAGTCAGACCTTCACATTATTCATGGCACATGAGAGAGCTATGCTAATTTAGCCTTTGACTTGTCCATCATTTACCATCCAAAAGTCTCTTTTGAAGTAAAATTGCAGTTCTCTTGCTTTTAAAAATGTGCCTGTGCCCTTATTTTTTTCATTAAAAAGACATTAACTTTTCAGAGAAATAGGTAGAAAATTGAATCTCTATTTGATTCCAGAATGCAAGGATAAATAAAACATGAATTATATATTTTTGTATCAATTCATTTTACAATCACCCTTCGTCAAGATTTTAGGTAGTATTTCAAGAAAGCCTGTCTTTGTCCATTGTGATAGGATTTTTCTTTTATATTGTTCTATTTTGCGGGAAATAGAAGTAATGATGGAACTGTAAAGATAGTGATGCTGGTTGTTACGGCAAGAGTAAAAATAAGGACAGAGGGAAGTTGGACGGTGGGACGTTTCTGGAGCTGTACTAAGTAGGTGGTGTTGGGAACGGGCTCTGTTTTGCTTTATACAGGTGATTAAAGCGGTCGAGGAAGGCTACCGTCTGCCAAGCCCCATGGACTGCCCTGCTGCACTTTACCAGTTAATGCTGGATTGCTGGCAGAAAGACCGAAATAGCAGGCCCAAATTCGACGACATCATCAACATGTTAGACAAGCTGATTCGTAACCCAAGCAGCTTGAAGACGCTGGTGAACGCTTCCTGCAGGTATGAGCCCGGATCCGAGCACCTTTCAGATCCACACCACAAATACCTAATTTCATAATGAAGTCTTTCTCCCGTGCATGTTAACCTATGAATTTATATGACGTGCTCATTGGAGTATGGTATTTGCACGTCTCTCTCTTACAGTGAATGGAGCTCGGGAGTAAATTAACCCTACAGACCCCTGTGCCTGCTCTAATAACACAGCACGCCAATCTCAGAGAAGCACAAGCTCTCACATGGTCAGGTGGTGGTAAACAATACGCTCAGATCTGTGTGTTTTTGTACATTTTGGAGAGTATATTTGGGTGGGGAAAATAAGATTTTAACATCATCAGGAAAAGCCAACTAAGCACTTATGTGTTTTAAACCAGAAATATCTAACAATAATTACTCTTTGATTTCTTTAGGATGTATTTTTAGTGTCATTTAAATATGAATATTTTTTCAAGTTCATACTTCTGAGTGTAGACAGCCTCAGGGACCCAGTGCCCTTCCCCAGGTGTGTACAGGTATTTAACATGCAGTTTGAACAAGACTGAACACCAGTAAATGAGTAATCTTAGAGAGAAAATGTATAGGAGTAAATTAACTTATTTTTACTTCTCAGAATAGCCCATGAATGCTTTTAAATAACGTTGCATATTTGTAAAGCGTGCTTTTCTTTTTACGTGAAAAACAGAATCATCCTCTTAAAAATCAGTGTGATTCTGTGCTAGAAAATTTAGCACATATTTTTATTTTCACTATATTTGAGGAAATTGTCTATTTTTACAAAAATGTATGATGTTGGTACCTAAATGAGAAACAATTTGTCGATAAAGTTACAGAAGTACTGTGATCCCAACAGAACATGTGTTTACTGGATGAAAAGTCATTTTAAATACAAATAAGGAATGAATCATCTTCAAACTCTGTTCAGGCATCATTAACTCTCTGTGGTAACAACTGAAGAATGCGACTTTTTGGAAATTATTGTTGCTCCCTAAATATCTGCTTTTAGATTGATTATTGTCCTGTGACACACTGAGGCTTTCTCTCCTCCGCTTTCTTGAATCACGTTACATTGTCACAAATGGACCTAGGGAAAGGACAGTTAAAAAAAAAAAAAGCTCTTAATGTTCTTGATCACATTAATTTACATTGTAGCCTGAGGGTAATTAAAATTTTCTAGATAATTTTTATATTTCCTTGCATGAAGTATGTAGATTGGTCTTGCTGGTTTTGTTTAAACAGATTCAGCTTGAAGACCAGCTCTAACTCCCTCCCTGACTTTCCTGCCCTTAGTTCTCTGCAAAGCCTGATTCTAGAAGGTGCTACCTCCTTGAGTAACCTGTATGCACCTGTATTCCTCATGAGAATGTCACCCAATGTGCCCAAATGATGCCCATCTCCTCTACATCCCAGTAACCTGGGATGGTTCTTCTTCAAAGCTTTTCTTTTCAAACCTACAGGGACTCATCTTCCCATGGTTATATTCTGATCCATGCCAGGCATCCTCAAACAGCCCACAGGCCACATGTAGCCCGCCTAGGACATTTATCCGGTCCGCTGTGTGTTTTTGCCGCTGCTGCCTGTCCTACTTAGCAACCAACTCATTCAGAGGCCCACAGTCTGGCCCTCCAGCAGTCTGAGGAACTGTGAACTGGCTCCCTGATTAAAAAATTTGAGGACCCCTGATCCTTACTGTTACCAAAAATTGCAACTCTGACATAATTTGAGGTCCCATTCTCCAGCTGTCCCCTCTGACATTTCTCTTACGAGCAATTCTTCCTTCATGGTCAAGAATCACACCAGCACATTTATTTATTCATCTGACAAATATTAACCCTTCCACTGTGTCAGACTGTAGGCCAGATGCTAAGGACAGAGCATTAAGCCAATAGACCGTGGTATTTGCCTCTGTGGGTATTGTGGTAGAGAGATGTCGAACAAAATAAAAACTTCAACAAAACGTGTTTGATTTGGGCGTGAAGAGTGAGAGTGGGCGGCACCTGTGGCTCAAAGGAGTAGGGCGCTGGCCCCAAATGCTGGGGGTGGAGGGTTAAAACTCAGCCTCGGCCAAAAACTGCAAAAAAAAAAAAAAAAAAAGAGTGAGAATGGAATTTGAGAGGATAACTCAAAGGTTAGAGTGGCTGTGTGGGTGAGAGATGAAGTGAGGATGGCTGAGAGAGACGTGATTGGATGCACATGATACTACAGAGTCTGGACAGTGTGATGCACAGGCCAGACTGTGAGAGGGTGGGGAGGAGCGGGAGGAGGCTGGGAACTCATCAGCTGGTGGGGCGTCTTTAGCAGGACTGGGAGGTAGAGGAGATGGACATCATTTGAGCACATTGGGTGACATCCTCATGAGAAATACAGGCACATGAAGGTGGCCCATGGAGACACAAGAGACAGGCTGCAGATAAAAATTGAGAAAAACAGATGCTATTTGAAGACATCGAAGCAAGTGAAATTGCTAGAATGCAGTTATAACTTGAGCAGAAAAGATGTAAGAGCATGTCCTACCTCCCTCCTAATGCCGGGAAATGAAGGGATAGTGGGCCAAGGAGATTGGAGGTGCACGCAATGTCATGGGGACCAAAATAGAGATGACAGTGATCTTAAAATTCAGGTAGAAAGAGTAGGATTTCAAGGGAAAGTTGGTAGTGCTGGTGGCTAAATGTTTCTGAGTCAAGTTATACGATAGACTGAAAAATGTTCAGAGATTCTGGCAAAAAAAAAAGGTCATTGCTTACCTCCATCAGAGGAATTTATATAGAATTGGTTTTCAAGAAACTTCACTCCCATAGAGTAAAGTGTGACTGGAATGTGAGAACATGTGGAGAACAGGAGTGCACAGAAGAGCCGCTGTATCCACATCTTACAGTTGAGATTTACTTAAGTGAATGCTGGCTGATGGATGTGTAAATTATTGTGGTGTTCAGGCATCATTAACCATTTTTCTTGGTTATTTCTTTAGGGTACATTTCTAGAAAGATCATCTCATGGTTTAGCTGCTTCTGTACTATTTAGTTTTCTTAGATATTTGGGGTTATGTTTTGTTCTCCAGTTTCTACTATCTTAGAATCAATGAACACCCTATGTAAGAGCATAAAATAAAGAATAAGTAACTTCTGGACTGCCTGAGAAATTAACTAAAATGATTATTAGTTCCTCTACAAGGTCTAAAAGCAACTTGCTTTGCATGAATTATCCTGTGTGTCTATGTCTGGTAAAGTTTACGTATTATCTTAAAAACAAAATAGTAGTACAGGCCAGGCATGGTGGCTTATGCCTGTAATTCTAGCATTTGGGGAGGCTGAAGTAGAAAGGTCACTTGAGGCCAGGTGTTGGAGGCCAGCCTGAGAAATATAATGAGACCCTGTGTCCACAAAAAATAGAAAATTAGCTGAAGTAAAGGAGGGCACCTGTGGTCTCAGCTACTCAGGAGGCTGAGGCAGGAGGATCTCTAGAGCCCTGGAGTTGGAGGTTGCCGTGAGCTACAGTGATAACATCACACTCAAGGGAGCACGACCCTGTTTCAGAAAACAAACATCAACAGAACAGTAGGAAGTAAATACATCTAAATCAGTACATTGACTGAGTTTTTAGAACAGTTTGTAGATGTACAACAAAATTGAGTGGAAAGTCCGAAGATGATCTCCCTGGCCTCCAAATGAGGATAGCCTCCCCGACTCCATTATCTAAATCAACCCCAAAGGGACATTTTAATCCCACCAAAGAACCAACATGGACCACATCATTAGCCCTCAGGTCCAAAGCTTACATTAGGTTTCACTCTTGGTATTGTACATTTTATGGGCTTGGACAAATGTGTAATAACACATTACCACCATTATACTATATACAGAATAGTTTTATTACCCCCCAAATTCTCTGTTTCTTGCTAATACTATGTGAAGTTTTTGCCTCTTGTTTTGCCTTATAATTTCCTTCTTAACGTATCATAAGTGCTCATTAATTATGTATAAAAAATCAAGGGACTGATTTTATATTTCACATTTTGAATTACTCTCTTTCACATTAGCATTTCACATTTTTCTACAAATACAAAGACCCGTTGACTCGAATATGAGTTAACACGCGACAAGCTTTGTTATAAAAATGTTTCCATATTACTGCTAACGTCTGTATTTTCTGTGTTTTAGAGTATCAAATTTACTGTCAGAACACGGCTCGCTAGGATCTGGGGCCTACAGATCAGTAGGTGAATGGCTAGAAGCAATCAAGATGGGCCGGTATACAGAGATTTTCATGGAAAATGGATACAGTTCAATGGACGCTGTGGCTCAGGTGACCTTGGAGTGAGTAATTTTTCTGATAATTTTTACATAATTGCTGGGGCGAGAAAAATTGTTCAGAAACCACCCTTGATGAGGTCAAAGGAAGTCAGTTAACCTTTGTCCGTGTGTGGCAGCTCTCCAAGAACCCTCTTCTTTTTGGCCTGTATTGTTAACAACTGCATGATTCACGTAGCTGGTGTCTTTGCTTGTTTGCCTCAAACAAACAGCGTTTGAGTATTTGAATAACCGGAACAACAGCTCCTTGGCAAAACTGGTATTTTGTGTTGTGGAAAAGATGTTTTCTTGACAAGTTTCTTATTCTGGTACTTACGTTACATGAATGTAAATACAAAACAAACTGTGAGCACAATTGGTGTGTCTCCTTCTACGTAAGGACAAAACACGTTCTCAAATTTCAGCTCTCTGGGCTGAATACCAAGGTTAAGACAGCTTCGACCAAGCTTCCCGGGCAGGAATTTAATTTCTGAGGCGCACCTTATACCCCTGCGGTGTGTAAGGATGTGTTAGACCCTGCCTCCGACGTATTGGGTACAATCTCAGTGGAACCAACTGTGCCCTTTTCTGTTTGCACGTTTAAGATAAACATTATCAAAATCTTATTAAATAAAAATCACTAGAGTTAACGATCCAGTTCTTTAAGGTTGTAAGTTGTTTGTACTTTATCATATACTCTGTACATGTAGTTCTTTCAGCCTAATTGTTATTTGTGAATATTAATTGTCGTTAGCAGTGGTTCCATCTAGATTACGTTGACATTTATAACGTTTTAACCTGTGAATATAATGATCACTCCCTTCCAATTGCCTACAGATTCAAAGGTTAAAATATTGCAGTAAGGATCAGAAAATGGTAGGATACTCTGAGGCACTAGACCACAGTCCTTATTTCATTCCGTCACGAGACCTGGGCTCTGTGCAGCTCTGTCTCAACCTCACTGTCATATATGACACAGTTCATCTCCACGGAAGGTAACAGGGTACCACTATCTGTCACCAGGTCAAGTCACTTTTGGGCATTCTCTGCCTTTGTGCTGAAATCACAATCACTCATTTTGCTTCCTTAATTGACCAAGTTCCATTCCCACTGCCACCATCAAATCATATCCACGTAATGACACACACACACACTTTGCCCACTATTTCTTTGGACACTCGAGAAGCTCATTTTTGCTGTATTTAAAATACTATACTGAAAAAATTAGTGATAATTTAAAACTATTTTTACATGACTGCTATTTAATTTTTCAGTAAAAAACGTTCATTTTAATTTATTGAAGTCATTTGTCATTTTATATTAAAATGATATTGTAGGTATTTCTTCTACCCGATGTCAGATTACTTGTACATATATAATAAAATTATTTGCATTATACAGTGTCTCCTTTTTATTAAAATGGCACCTATTCATCTATAGTCATATCTGCTGTATTTTTTATTCCGCCTTCGCAGAATAGTTATAATCACAAATAACTTAACTACCTGCATTCCTTTCCCTTAACTACCTGTGTTCTGCTTTGTATTGCTGGGACTCTAATACAAGTATGTTGAGTGTGTCAGCATCACGGTTTCTCTTTTTATTATTTTTGAAAACTCTTTCTACTTACTTTCCTGTCTGCTCTGTGGTCTCCAAACTCTCTGTATTTTGCATGTTTTCCTCCTGGCCGTCTGAGTCTCTTCCACATTCTCGTAACGACTCTTCACCTGCTCGTGGTACTTGCTGTGTTGTCTCCTTTCAGATATTCCATCTTTTAATGCGTTGCCTCTGAGCTGAAGGGTAAGGTAAAATTTGGAGATCCACCAGCATCTCTCCATTCAGAAATATCGGTTTCTTTTTACCGGTTGCTTCAAATTTCTAGGACCCATCACTATTACTAAGCAGTATTTCTTACTAGAAGTTGGGCCAGCAAACCCTAACTCTAGTAACACTGATTTCTCGAGAGAAATTAGTGACTTTAAATATATGTTCTCCTCTTTACTGTGTCTTTGACCGTATTTTTTTTTTCTAATTGACAGGAACATGTTTATCAAAACATGATGTTAAATAACTCATAAAATAAAGAGTAATGAGTTACTTTTTTGGTTAAAAATAAAGATCATCTATGCATTTTGCCTGCCCTTCACCCTAAATAAATAAATAAAAGTCATCACCAAGGGGCAGCACCCGTGGCTCAAAGGAGTGGGGCGCTGGCCCCAGGTGCTGGAGGTGGCGGGTTCAAACCCAGCCCTGCCCAAAAACTGCAAAAAAAAAAAAGTCATTGCCAAAGACAAATAGCAAAGCAGACAGATTCTCAACAAAAGACAAACTCTCAAACGCCTGAAAGATTTTTCACACATAGTCTTTATCTAAGCATTAATTTTATGAAACCTACCATAAAATGTTACTCCTGGAGTTATTTCCAGGGAATAATGGAGGCTGAGAAGGAAGGGATGCATTGATAACTGTGATAAATGCTTATAAGAACGGTTATAATCAACCCAAAGCCAATGTTCAAACTGCCGTATGCAGAAGAATGTGTTGTAATTTACGACATCAAATTTGTTTCCAATAGCGGGTTTAGAAAAAGAAGAGTAGAACATGCAGTTTTCCAAAACCACATATTTTGGTTAAGATTTCCTTCATAAAGGTTTAATTTTGTTGCTGTCGTGAACTGTTTGCCATTACATGTACGGATGACTGAATACAGGAAGGAAATGAAGAGCCCCAGGGGGCTTTCAGTCAGCACATTAGTGCAGGCTCCTCTCCACTTGCAAGTTTCTGCTCTTGTCTGTGCCTGGAGCTTGCTGGCTTGTGTACAGTGCTGATGGAAGAACCATGGATTGGGCCGTGCTGGTGCCAACCACTCGGGGAGTGCAGGGAGCTGCTGCCAGCAGGGGACTTGGGAGCCAGAGGTCAGGAGGAGGCTGGATGTAGAGACCTCAACTAAGGACCAAGTCACAGCCACTCTTCAGCTTCTGGTCAGACTGCTGCTGTCAACTCTTGATTATTGAGAAAAACGAACAAAATCCAGGGAATTTACATGTGTTATTACACCAACTGTGTGTACGCTAAAGAGGTTCCTGTGAGTACCAGTTAATAGAACAGAGGCTTAAACTCCTAAAATTCACAACATTTCATTAAACCTAGAGCCAAAGTCTATAAAGGTGGATTTAAATAGATTTACGAAGTCACCAACCAAGTCATTGCACATGGTCCATTGTACAGGTCAAGTGCACATGGGAGCTTTGATTATCCTCTGTGTTCCTTAATGAAGCTAAAACTCCAAGTCCAGACCTCACACGTCCCCTGTATTGAAACCTTTAACAGACCCCTGGTTAAATCTCCTCTTGCCAAATGTAAATGTTTGTCTTGTGCAATATCTATATAAATGGTTGTTAGGATTCCCCTAAGTTAACCAAAAATAGCAAACCCAGAACCTCAAGATACAACTATGAAAAAAGCATGACGTCCTAGAGTTTATGAGTATTCATTAATCGCTCTGCTGCCCTCTGTCCAGTGGTGCTGGGGGGACATAGGACCAGGGATGTGTCTGAAAGGTTCATGAGGCAGGAAGGAGAAGGGGCGAGGGTTGGGTCTCTCCAGACACTGGACCTGAGCCTGGATAACCAAGCGGCAGCTCCAGCACCATCTAAATGCCTCTCATTACTCCAGATTCTTCATTCAGACATTTTATTGTCATAATGTCAGTCTTTCCCCATTGTTTGATATCACAGACTAATATTTGAAAAAAATCAAACTTTTTTATGTAACAAACCTATTCTCATGTTTTTACTCATAAGCCTATGCTGAAAGATAGTTTATCCCTGTGAGAACTGGCCTTGGATATCGCTTACGATCACACATGGTCGTGATAAAGTTAGTGTAATATTTATAGAGGGGACACATTTAAAACTTTGCCAATAACATTTCCGGCTATAAAAATAAAGTGAAAAAAGTAGGCTCCCTTGCACCATTTCCCACTTTTTTCAAAAGTCATTGTAATAGAGTAACAGTTTCTTCATAAAATGTAAAATGTTTTATTTTTATCAATTTTGTGTAACTATTACTGCTCATTAGACCATGTAATACATGCTTTAGCTAGTCAAATAGGAAATGTTGGAAATAGTAAATGTATGAGACTAGAGTACTTCAAAGAATATCCTTTAATGCTTTACCAATATTGGAACAAAGTTATTTAACCTTTGCTAATTGGAAATTTTAATACCACTTTAATTTCCTTGTGTGGCACCACTGAGCACATTGAAAGATATTTTTAAAGAACCTACTTTGCTGCTGAGAACAATTTAAACTTAACATAAATAATTTTATTTATCTTTTCCTTTTTCACCTGAACTCCCATTGAATACAGGTATCTGTACATTGCAGGGATTATAATCATGCTATTTCCTAGCTCTGCATTGATTTGACGAGTTATGAACCGACAGGCGAGATTTAAAGAAAATCAGCATTATTCTATTAAAGACACACGTCATATCTGGCAGTGTGTAAAATGCAATGCTATGTTGTTATAACTCCAGTTCTCCCCTGGGGAGGTGAGAATGGATGGAATAGGAGAGAGAGAGAGAGAGGAAAGAGAGAGAGAGAGAGAGAGAAAGAGGAGGAGGGAACTTGACTGGCCTTCCCTTACAAAGACGTCTTAGGAGATAATCAGATAGCAAATTGATCTTGAAATAAAATGTTATACTTAGTTCACTGGCAAAACTCAAGCACATTTTAACCCAAAATCTACATGTAAGATGTGTTCTGAAGAAGTACAGGTTTGATTTTCCTATAAACACAAACTCTGCACTCACATTCTAAACCAAATGTACTTGCTCAAAACATTCACTTATTAGCATGACAGAGAATTTCACTAACCATTTAAATTTCCAGGCTCATGTGGCTCCCGTGGTTCCAAGGTATGGGGCGCCGGCCCCATATGCCAGAAGTGGTGGTGGGTTCAAACCCAGCTCTGGCCCCCCCCCAAGAAAGGGAAATTTCCAGGCTCGCCCCCCTTGCTCAGTGATTCTTGGGTGCAGGCCACATACACCAGGGCTGGCGGGTTGGAACATGGCCCTGGCCTGCTAAACAATAATGGCAACTACAACAAAAAAATAGCCAGGCATTGTGGCAAATGCCCATTAGTCTCAGCTACTTAGGAGCCTAAGACAAGAGAATCACTTAAGTCCAAGAGTTTGAGGTTGCTGTGAGCTGTGACACCACAGCACTCTACTGAGGGCAACACAGTGAGACTCTATCTCAAAATAAATGAATGCATCAATGAATAAATAAGTAAGTGCACTTCCAAAGCACTGAGGTTGAGTTTTTTCTTTTGGGGGGGGGGGGTCAAGTCATTTCAGGAAAATTAAATTATATTTGCATTTAGTATAACAAGGTAGTAGAAATAAAGATCAGTCAGATTACTCATTTGATTTTTTTTAGGCAAAACAGCCAAGAAATGGAGTACGGTAAACACACACTTCAAATTCAAGGTTCACATTTGTAGATGGAAGTCCGTGGTGTTTGAGAGGAAACCTATGAATTCTTTTTCAGTTCCCTTGGAATAGACCGTAATTATTCTCAAAAACTCATTCCTAATTGGTGTAGCCATCATGAATTTTCTGATAAAAGTGTGCAAGCCCAACCCAGATGGAAAGGATACGATAAAACAGTTTAAAGCTTCATTTCTTATTCTAACTGAATTCTGTCATAGCTATTTATTGTTTTCAGGTTAAGAAATTTAATTTTTAGCTCTTTTTTTTCTCTCCTGTGTATGGGCCAAAGTTTGCTCATGCAAACCCACAAATACCCTCTTCTACACAATTCTTAGTGACTGATCAGTTGTATGTGGACACAGAGAATATTAATTAGCCTGTATCTGAAACAGCCGTGAAATAGAGATTTGGCTATGGTAGCCTCAAGGAAGTCTGTTTCACTTCCTTCCTTGGGTAACTTCTTTCTTTTAAGTTTTCCTAAGTTTTGTGACACACTTAACAGAGTTTTCTTTCCACGGGTGAATAATTTGAAGTGTAGTTTGAAGTGCTTTTCTAAAAATTATATCTCAGAATAATGAGAAAATTTCAAGTCTGGACTTCAGCGTAATGTATATTGTTTTAGTCTGATACCCACTGGTTTTTGTTCTTTAGCCAAGGGACTTAAACTTACTAAGCCTTTGTTTCTTCATCTATAAAAGAAAAATTTTTAAATCGATATTACAGGGTTACCTATTTTCCCAGAAGATAGGAAGGAGATGTCTATTCAGTGACACCTGTAACTTTTTATATTTAGTGCAATGGTTCTCGACAAAAATATTTCACCTTTAGCATAATATGTTCAATAAAGTCTTTGTCTAAGGAAATCTAATGTTGTCAACGTCTTTATCATTTAGGATCT